AGCTGTGGATCCCAGTTCCAATGGATACACTTATGATTCCTGGACCCACATTTACAATGTAACTCCTGCACCTAAGGTTCTGAGAGCATTGCTGGAGAGGGTACTGAGATTGTAAGAGGCAAAGGAAGGAGGAGTTTACTGTGAGGTTGTGTCTTCTGGAAAGGGCAGAAGCTACACCCATAAAGTCTCACCAACATGACTGCCTAGATATGAGCTGAACAAGGACAACAATAGATATCTAACTTGGACCAGGTCTCAGCCTCACACAAAGAACTACAGGCAACTCAAGGATGCTGAGAGCAGAAGAAATACTTTTCTCCAGGGAAGAGCACACCAACCGGCTAACCAATACCAAATGATCAGCAGTGAAGACATACAAGTAACATTTACAGACTGAGCAGCTTATGTTTATGTATTTAGGAATATGTATATAAACATATGCATGGCCAGGCGTTGGCGGTGCACGCCTTTAATCCTAGCACTCGGGAAGGCAGAGGCAGGTGGATCTCTGTGAGTTCCAGGCCAACCTGGTCTACAGAGCAAGTTCCAGGACAGCCTACATAACAATACAGAGAAACCCTGTCTCGAAAAAAAAATCATATATGCATGTAACAACAATGAATAAAGGTCATGAATTTGGAAGAGAGCAAGAAGAAGTGTAGGGGAGGGAGAAAAAAGGGAAGGGAGAAATTATATAATCTCAAAAATAAAAGAATAAGCCAGGTGGTGTTAAAAAAATTAGACAAGTAATAGAGGCAAAGATATATTCACTGTAACAACATTAGGAAGAGGACCAAATGAAGTGTTCCAGTGACCTCAACACACTCCATCTTTGAGGATAATGACAGAGGTTTAGGTATAATAGAGGTCAAGAAGTATGTATATCTAATCCGACCCAGTCATGGTGTGGTCTCACATGTCACTGACCTATCATTATCTCAACTCCCATCTCGGTAGTACAAATAATAAAAACCGGAGGCAGATATTGGGGTTCAAGTTGAAGATCAGAAGAGCAGAGCAGTCAACCACTAGAGGGTTCTTGTCTCTACCAAGGCTGGGGTGATCCTGCCCTCAGCATGACTGTAGACTGAATACACTGCACGCCTGTCTCCACCAGCCTCATATACCTCTCTGGTGCTGGTATTAAAGGTGTGCACCACCACCCAGCTTCCCTGGCTAACTAGTGTGGCTACTGAGATTAAAGGCATGTGCTACCACTGCCTGGCCTGTATGGCCTACTAGTGTGGTTACCTTTGCACTCTGATCTTCAGGCAAGCTTTATTTGTTAGATCATAAACAAAATATCACCATAAATCTCTGCTGTAAGAAATGTGTAAAAATCTCTCCTGGAGGACAGAAATTGACGCAAATATTTTCTCTCCCCTCTCTCCCTCTCTTCTCTCTCTCCTTCTCTCTTGTTCTTCAGCAAAAGCATTTTCTAAATATCTGTTGCACCCTTGTTCCAGGAGCTATCTCCAAAGTTGGAATCAAGTTAAAACAACCTATGTTTTCCCACTTTTGGGGTAGAGATTACATGGTCCTGCAACTGCCTCCTTCCCTGCTCATTTCCCTAACCTTCTAATGACTATCTTTTACACAGGGCTGACTAAATTCTCAAGAGAGGACTCTATAAGCATCCTTCACTCTCCTGCTCACAAGAACTGACTTGCAGAAAACTGTGTTGGAAGAGAAAATGCAGGTGCTGCCCTAGGAGGCCTAGGTCTCAGGTCCAGATTTTTAAAGAAAAGGAGCAAGATAGAATTGTTGAGAAGACTCCATCTGGCCAGGGATTTCCCACCAGTTGTCTCACAGTAATTCAGTGTCCTGTCAAAGCTCTCATGCTAGTGGAAGTTTCTTTCCCACCAGCAGCTCTCAAATAAACACACTGAGGCTTATATTAATTGTAAATGTCCAGCCAATAGCTCAGGCTTGTTACTAGCTAACGCTTACATTGGAATTAACCCGCATTTCTTATCTATGCTTTGCCATGTTGCTTGGCACTTTTCTTCAGTAGGGCATGGCCATCTTATCTGTTGGCGACTCCTCTGACTTTGCCCTTCCCCTTCCCAGAGCCCTTAGTTTAGTTGTTGTGCCTATACTTCCTACCTCGCTACTGGCCAATCAGCTTTTCACTAAACCAATTCAAGTGACAAATCTATACAATGTACAAAAGGATTATTACGCAGCACCCTCCCACTCCTAATTCCCACCCAAGATGGATTTCTATTTTTGAGACAGATAAGAATGACCTTGAGGGCTGGAGAGATGGCTCAGAGATTAAGAGCACTGACTGCTCTTCCAGGGGTCCTGAGTTCAATTCCCAGCAACCACATGGTGGCTCACAGCCATCTACAATTCAATCTGGTGCCGTCTTCTGGCATGTAGGCAGAACACTGTATATGTAATAAATAAATAAATCTTAAAGAACAAAACAAAAGAATGACCTTGAATGTTTTTCTTTAAAAGAAAAAAAGATTTAAAATGTCTGATTATGCGTAGGTGTGCATGTGAGTGCAGCTGCCTATGGAGGTCAGAAGAGGGTGCTGGATTATCTGGAGCTGAGGTACAGTCATGAATTACAGGTTCTCTGGGTGAGCAGCTAGTGCTTTTAACCACTAAGATATCTCAAGCCCTGCCTGCGCGTGCGCGCACACACACACACACACACACACACACACACACACACACACACACACACACCATCTCAGAGCCAGGTATGTACTCATAACTTAGTATGCAGCCCAGGTTGTTCTCACACTAACTGTGATTCTCCTGTGTTACCTCCCTAGTGCTAGGATTACATGCAAATATTTGACAGAGAAAAGACTCTCGTTTTCCTTGGGTACAGTCTTGAATAAATCTAATTTGTTCCACTCATTTCTCTCTCCTGGTCATTCAGTAGAGCTATGAGCTGGACAAACCTAAGAATCACTGCTGTTTTGAGACAGGGTCTCACTATGTAGCCTTGGCTAGCCTGGAGCTCACTGTGTAGACCAGGCTGACCATGAACTCACCAAGTGCAGGAAAGAAAAGCATGCACCACCACCCTTGGCCCTAACCTTAGATGTTGGCAACTGTTTTCTCGGATTTCACAGGCTCTGCTTCGACATGTTTGAGTACTTCTTTAGGTACCAATCAGTTAAAGAGAGGCACAATTGCACTCATCCCAATAATCAGAGAATTACCCTTCCACTTATTTTGCAACAGTTAATAATAGACCTAGCTAATCCATGTTTCTGAACCCACATCCATCTGCTCACTACTCAGATCCAATACTTTCAAGACAATATTTTGTGGAAAAGAGATGCTCAGCAAAGGTCAGCCCTGACAAATGGGAGGCGGCAGTTTTCCTCAGTGTCTCATGTTTAGGGATAACCAGACACTAAAGACCTTCAATAGAAAGTAACGGGTAGGAAGCCTCCATACTGAGTGTAGCCCTCGTTTTTTTTTTTTTGTTTGTTTGTTTTTTTTTTTTTTGCTGTGATTATCCCCGTTTCTTCCTTTGTCTGCATGTTATCTGAACTATGACCTTCTCTCTTTTTCATTTAATTTTATTTTAATGCGCATTGTTGTGAGGATGTCATATCCCCTGGAACTGGAGTTAGAATTGTGAGCTGCCATGTGGGTGCTGGAAATTGAACCGGGGTCCTCTGGAAGAGCAGCCAGTGTTCTTAACCACTGAGCCATCTCTTCAGCCCCAGCTGTTTTCTTTAGAAAAACATTCGTTTTCTTCAAGTTAACTCTTACAGCAATTTACATGTTTTGTGTTTGAGCACATGACTAAAATAAGGAGTGTGTCACACATTCTTGTGCTATCTCAAAGTCACCAGATGATCTGGTTCTGTAAATTTCAAAATTGTTTGTTTGAGACAAGACCTCACTATGTAACCTTGGCTTGGCTGGAGCTCGCCAAGTAGACCAACCTGGTCTCGTACTTAGATCACTTGCTTCTGCCTCCCAAGTGCGGGAATTAAAGTTTGACCCCCACCCTTCTTGAATTGCGAGGAGAAGGCTTCGAGCAGCCTTTTAGGGCGGGCTGACGATTTACTCTCCTGCTAATCAAGATTTTCTTTCTTTTTTTTTTTTTTTTGGCGGGGGGCGGGGCCGGAGTTCGAGACAGGGTTTCTCTGTGACTTTGGAGGCTGTCCTAGAACTCACTCTGTCCTGGGACTCACTCTGTAGACCAGGTTGGCCTCGAACTCACAGAGATCCGCCTGCCTCTGCCAATCAAGATTTTTCTGCACAAGAGTTCTAATGCAATTCCTCAAACGAGATGCCGCCGCTTTTCTCTGCAGCCGGCCCAGAGGTATTTCCCAGCACCGACGGAAGTAGAACCCGGAACCACTTCCTCCGGTGCGGGCCAATGAGCTCTTTCTTATGGCGGCCTCTTTAGTCCCGAGCGGAAGAGCATTTTGATTGGTGGCTCGGCCGAATGCGCAGAGGCTCACGGGAGTCAAGTCCCTCCGCTTCTCCGTGACTGCCCAGAAGAGCTGTCAGTCATCCGAGCCGTCCCCTCTGGTCACACCTCTTCCGCCGCCAGGCAGCGACGCCGCGGGGGCCGGGCAGCTCCGCTCAGCCCAGGCGCTCGCACTGCTGAGAGGCGCGGGGCCGCGCGGGGCGGACCTGGGAGGGGAGCGGCCGCGGGGGCGGGGCCGGGGCGGGGCCGGAGGAGGAGGCGGAAGCGGCGAGCGAGCTGGAGCCGGAGTCGCATCGAAGCTGCGTCCGGGCCGGCGGAGCGGCGGCGGCGGGGTTGGCCGGGGCGAAGGGGCGCTGGAGCCTGGGCGGGCGGGCAGAGGGCCGGGGGGGGGGCGCGGCTCGGGTGCGGGTGACGGGCGTGCCGGGGGGATGCGAGCCGGGGCTGTGGGGCGGGGCGGGCGGCGGCCGCGGGAGCGGCGCCGGGGGCGGGCGGCCGCATGAGGCGCGGGGCCGGCGGCCGCGGGAGGGCGGCGCGGCCCGCGGCCCGGTCGCTCCCGCTGCAGCTGCTGGCCGGCGCGCTGTGCCCTGACAGCTGGGCCTCGGCCGCTCTCGTCTCGGCCGCGTCCCGGGCCGCCGCTGGTGACCACTCGCCGCGCCGCCGGAGGCTTCACCCGCGCCCTCCCTCAGGACGCGCCCGCGGAGCTCGGGCGCCTTCGCCCCGGACCCGGAGGCCGCGCTGCGCGGGGCGGCGGCGAGGCCGGAAGATGGCCTGGGTGCTCAAGATGGACGAGGTCATCGAGTCCGGGCTGGTGCACGACTTCGACTCCAGCCTGTCGGGCATCGGGCAGGAGCTGGGCGCCGGCGCCTACAGCATGAGGTAAGGGGCGCGCGGCTGCCTCCCCCCGGCGGGGCCCGGGCCGCGGGGTCGGGGTCCTACCGCGTGGCCCCGTGGCCTCGGAGCCCGACGGCGACGGCTGGCGGGGGACCACGCCGCTTCAGCCCGGGGAAGCCACTCTAGCTGTTGAGACTGGGTCAGAGGGGAAAGGGGCTTTCTTCCAATTGATTTACGAGTCTTTTTAGCTGCAGTGGGCTGTACAAAAGGCGCCGTTTGTAGTGGGAAAACAGTGCAGCCTTCCCTACCGTGTCTTTTAGGGTGGCCTTCGCATTTCAGCCACTGGACGTTTTAATAATAAGTTATATTGTGAGTGAAAGTAGCCCTGAGGGTGGGCGAGCGCATTGATGCGGCTTGCTGTTTAGTCAGTCTCCTGATTGTGTGCAAGTGTAGCCGGGCTCTTGACTTGTTTTTGTTTTTTCGTTCTCAAAGTGACTCCCCTCAGGCTGTTTCCTCTTGCAAAGGGCTTTGAGATTGTGCCACAAACAATAGTTTAGTCACTGCTGTCTCTGCACCAGCAGCTGTTCCATTTTGTGTAATTGGGAGAGGTTGAAACAGATAGGAGCCAAGTATGTCTGCCCCTTATCCCGAAAGAGTTGAAGAATTCTTCGTGGCTCAGAAGCTCTTTGTTTGGGTGCTGGACTATGACTTGTGTAGGGTGTGTGTTAGCCACTGAAGCAAGAAGCGGAGCGGTCGTTGAAACTGATGTGAAGTGTAGCATTCTGTTTGCAGTTTAATGCCTGTGAAGGGCAGTGCAGCTTCCCAGTAGCTCTCCTAGCCGCCCAGGGGAGGACAGGAGCATTAATGCCCCACGAGAAATGACTTGAGAAGTTCAGGCTCATCCCTGAAGCCGTTTGGCTTGCCTCTCAGAACAGTGGGGAGGTTTCTTGGCCCATGGAAAGGAGCGGTGGAAACCCTGCTAAACTGAGAATCAAGTCACTTTTATCTGACCCTGCTTTGGTCTCTCTCTACTCGGCTGCCTAAACTAGGCATCTCCTTTCTCTCCAGTTGTGTAACTTGAGGGCTTAGATGAGGTGGATTGTTTCGAGAACAACTATCTTGGTTGTTGAGGAAATTGAGCTACTGAGAGTCGCGGGATCACCCAGAGAGGAGTGCTGAAGTCAGAAGGGGCTGCTGAAAAAGTTTGCTCATTGGAGGTTTCCAGAGCTTTGCCTTTTTTCCTAGGGGCTTCTGTGAACTATGCTTGGTTTTTGTTTGTTTTTTGTTTTGTTTTGTTTTGTTTGGTGATTCTGCCAACTGGCTAACTTGTGTTGAAGGTTATTTCTCTGAAAAGGAAATCAATTCTTAGTGATATCCTATCCTTGACCTTATTCTTGAAGTTACTCTGGCATCTTTGTGGTTTTCATTAATGACACTACACTTGAGAAAAACCCTTTCCCTTCAGTGTTTTTGACTGTGTTATTTAATCTAAAATCTCCAGTGACTCTGAACGTGAATGTCAGTTTTTGAGGGGGCTTGTTTATTTGACATTGAACTGAGTTTGCTTCTTGTGCCTTCAAGACCCTTGATTTAAATTTTTCAAGTATAAGACATTGTGAAATTGAGCTGACAAGGAGAAAGTCTGAGGGGGATTAGACTTCTGTAAGTCTTCCTCCCTTGGTTCTGTCTCTCTCCAGTTGCCCTGAGACTCAGAGCAGGGTGCTTGTTCTGCCTAGGAATCTGATAGGAAGCAAGCCTTAACTTTTGTTGTTTGTTCTCACCTAAACTCAAAAACCAAGCCTGAAGTGGTGGCTCACATCCGTAATTTCAGCAATTAGGAGGCTGAGGTTTGAGTTTGAGTCCAGCCTGGGTACATATTTTGTTAGACAGACAGACAGACACAGACACACATACACACTCTAAGAAGTATACTTGAACTTACTGGGAAATTTTTGATAAAAGTTTGGTTTGGTGGGCTGCAGAGATGGCCCAGCAGGTAAAGGCGTTTGCCTCCAAGCTTGTGGACATGTGTTCTAGCCTTAGAACACATGTGATAGAAGGGGAAAGCTGACTTCTGCAAGTTGTCCTTTTATCACATAAATGTTGAAAGCACACTTGTGCCGATTTCTTTTTTTTAAGTAAGCATTTGCCATTTTTCTTCTAACTGTATTTGTGGGTGTCTTAAAACAAAATTCATTCTGTCTCTAGCTTCATGGAGCTGGGAATTAAACCAAAGGCCTTGAGTTTACTAGCTAAGGTCTTTGTTTTTCCTTTTGAGACAAAAATCTCACTATGCAGTCCAGGCTGTTCTGGAGTTCACTGTCTTGAATAGATTCCTGAGTGTTGGGATTATAGGAATAAGCCACCATAACCAGTTTAGGCGAAGTGTTAAAACTTTTTATTTCTCTCCTCCCCATTCATTCATTCATTCATTCATTCATTCACATTGAGAAGGGTTCTCATGTAGCCCAGGCTGGCCTTGAACTCATTGAGTAGCTGAGGGGTGATTTTTGAACTTCTGATCCTCCTGACTCCTCTTCCAGAGTGCTTGGATTATAGTTGTGAACCACCTCCTGGTCTTTGTGCATGGTAACTAGGCAAGCATGCTACCAATTGAGCTATATCTTCTGCCCTTTCGACTTTTGGTTTTTGGAGACAGGGTTTCTCTGTTGTTTTCTTGAGCCTGTCCCAGAACTCGCTCTGTAGATCAGGCTGGCCTCAAACTCACAGAGATCTACCTGCCTCTGTCTCCCAAGTGCTGGGAATAAAGGCATGTGCCACCAACGCCTGGCTCCTTTTGACCTTTTTTAGACTTTTCAGCAGTCTTGGAACTTAACAGTGTAGCTCATGCTGGCTTCAACTTGAAGTCTGCTTCTGGCTTCCAAATGCTGCAGCAATATTATTCTTTAGGTTTTTTTTTTCTTTTGTGGTTTTGTTGTTTTGATTTTTTGTTTTGTTTTTCAAGACAGGGTTTCTCTGTGTAGCTTTGGAGCCTGTCCTGGAACTCGCTCTGTAGACTAGGCTGGCTCAGACTCACAGTGATCCACCTGCCTCTGCTTCCCAAGTGCTAGGATCAAAGGTGTGTGCCACCACTGTCCAGCTTTCCTTCCTATAATACTCTGGGTCTTTTATATTATTATTATTATTAATACCAACTAGAATTCGTACTACATCTGGCAGACAATGTGGACGGTGAACCCATGACCCTGAGACGAAGTCTCATGCTCTACTGACTGAGCTACCTAGGCAGTCTGAGGATTTGTAGAGACAAATGCCGTCTAGGCAATCAGTCTAAGCAAGCAGTCTGAGGAAGCTTTCTGAAAAGTAGTGCAGTCTGAGGATGCAGTCTGGGGACAGGATCGCCCTTTGGTCTGAGCATTGGTAGAGGTGAGAACTCTCTAGTGTCTACTAGCTGCTTTGTGACTCTGCTCCACCCGTTTTCACCCCAATAGCTGACTCTTCATTATTAAGACCAAAGAGAATTCCTGCTACACCCATCTTTCTCGTTAGCATTCTGATAATTTTATTTCATTGTAGGATTATATAAGATCTCAGATTTTCTGCATAGCTAGACCTTGTCTTTAAATGGTGACTATAGTTCTTACATTTCCTTCTATCTCCCTCTTTCTGAGACATCTAGGGTTTTTTTTTTTTTTTTTGGTTTTTCGAGACAGGGTTTCTCTGTGGCTTTGGAGGCTGTCCTGGAATTCGCTTGGTAGTCCAGGCTGGTCTTGAACTCACAGAGATCCGCCTGCCTCTGCCTGTGCTGGGATTAAAGGCGTGCGCCACCAAAGCCCAGCTGACATCTAGGGTTTCAATGAAATGTTGGCTAAAGACACCAAAAGCTAGAATCCTTAATATCTTTCTGATTTTATGGAGAATTATATATTATACATTCTAAATTTTTTAAATTTAAATTCTAAATTTTCTTAAATTGTCTCCATTCTGAGAAAAGATTGGCTTTTTATTCAGCTTTCTTTTAAAAAAGGTTTTAAGCCAGACGGTAGTGGCACATGCCTTTAATCCCAGTACTTGGGAGGCAGAGGCAAGCCGCTCTACAAAGCTAGTTCCAGGACAGCCTGGACTGTTACACAGAGAAATCCCGTCTTGAAAAACCAAAAAAAAAAAAAAAAAAAAGAAGTTTTAAAAGTCTTATTTTATATGTGTGTGAATGTTGCATGTATGTATATGCACCATGTTTGTGCCTTATGCCCAAGGAGGCCAGAAGAAGGTGTCAGACTTCCTACAGCCAGGTTTTGGATGGTTGTGTGTCATCATGTGGGTGCTGGGAACCAAACCCATATCCTCTTTAAGAACAACAAGTTCTTAACCATGAGCCATCTCTCCAGCTCTCTTTTTTACTGGAGAGAGAAAGGGAGGGAGGGAGAGAGAGAGAGAGTTGTATATACTTGCCACAGCACACTTGTGGAGGCTAACTTGCAGGATTCCTTCTTCTTCTTCTTTTTTTTTTTTTTTGATTTATTTATTTATTATGTATACAGTGTTCTGCCTGCATGTATGCCTGCAGGTCAGAAGAGGGCGCCAGATCTTATTACAGATGGTTGTGAGCCACCATATGGTTGCAGGGAATCGAACTCAGGACGTCTGGAAGAGCAGCGTGTTCCTAACCCCTGAGCCATCTCTCCAGCCCCGCAGGATTCCTTCTTCTACCTTGTGGGTCCCAGCTTGTCAACAAGTGCCCCTATCGGATGAGCAATTTCACTTAGCAATAGCTCATGCAGTATTAATTATCCAAAGGTTGAAGCCAGGCATGATGACACATACCTGAAATCCTAGTACTTAGAAGAGGAGGCAGGAGGATTAGTTGTTCAGGACCATCCTAGGCTATCCTGAGTTACATGAGACCATCTCTAAAGACAGAAAAAAAAAATGGGGACTGACGACATGGCTTAGTGGTTAAGAACACTGGCTGTTCTTCCAGAGGACCTGGGTTCAATTCCCAGCACCCACATGGCATCTTACAACTGTTTGTAACTCCAGTTCCAGGAGATCCAACAGACATGCATGCAGGCAAACACTAATGC